CTGACTGTCTGTCTGTCTGTCTGTCTGTCTGTCTCTCTGACTGTCTGTCTGTCTGTCTGTCTGTCTGTCTCTCTGACTGTCTGTCTGTCTGTCTGTCTGTCTGTCTCTCTGTCTGTCTCTCTGTCTGTCTGTCTCTCTGACTGGCTCTCTGACTGTCTGTCTGTCTGTCTGTCTCTCTGACTGACTGTCTGTCTGTCTGTCTGTCTGTCTGTCTCTCTGACTGTTTGTCTGTCGGTCTGTCTGTCTGTCTGTCTGACTGTCTGTCTCTCTGACTGTCTGTCTGTCTGTCTGTCTCTGACTGTTTGTCTGTCGGTCTGTAGGTCTGTCTGTCTGTCTGTCTGTCTGTCTGTCTGACTGTCTCTCTGACTGACTGTCTGTCTGTCTGTCTCTCTGACTGTTTGTCTGTCGGTCTGTCGAACTGACTGACTGTCTGTCTGTCTGTCTGTCTAACTGACTGTCTGTCTCTCTGTCTGTCTGTTTCTGAGAACACACAAAAAATTTTCCCTGAAAATATATATTTTTTTATTTTACATGTAAACAGAAGTAATACAGAAGTAGTATGCAAATTGTCTGAATAAAATAAATATCCATAAAAGGATTTTGAATTTGTACTTTTTCGATTATAAAACAAAATAAATGACAGAAAAAGTCATGTAATGACAGTAATTGATGGCAGTAAAATGACAGTCATCTTCACATAATTTTTGGCAACTCAAAACTTTTAAAAACTGTTTTATGGAGTTTTCGTTAATTAAAGTTTTTGTATTGTTTCGATTTTGCAGGTAGAGGTTTTGTTTGTCACCTAAGCAATCAGTTTGTGGTTAAACAACAGCATAATCTATTAAACACACTGTTCTTCAGTCCTCGCAGCCTTATTTTCATTCCTGTTAAAAATTAAACATGGTGCCACCCTGACTAAGATCTACAGACCCTCTAAGTGAACTGTCATCTTACCAGCTTCACATTAAAATGCAGGAGAATGTATGACAATTCTGTCATATTCTCTTAGCAACTCAAAATGGAGCTCCAGCAATGAACAATATCAGAATCAGCATACAGATGTGACACTCCCATTACTGGGGTTTCTATGCTTCAGAAGACAAAGGACCAGATCAACCCATTGTATGGCAGTGACTGTTATTCGCCTTGCAGGAGGCCTGTTTAAACACATCCACAGTTTTGACCAATGCCAAACCAGTTCATATCTGCACTCCAAAAGCACAGATGCTTTGATTATTGTTGTCGAAGTTCTCCAAGTTCAGTATCACAGTTCCTGTCTTAACAATGACACCATATTGCTCATCATCACAGCGCTCAGGAAACCGTCAGTCACTGCCTCTTGCAAACAAGCACTCAGGAATGATGTTTGACATTGTGAGAGGATTTTTTGAGACATCATTTCACAATAAATTTTCCCTCATGCTGTGTTGAAAGCCTTTTTATCCCTCACACGTAGCATTGTAAACATTAATGCTCCCATGAGACGCTTGGCCAATGTCAGACATCTCATCTGAAGGCCTTTCACCTCTGCCTTACTGACCTGCTTTCACCCAAGTCCTCTTGTTCATAATCCCTAGCAAGCACAGCTGCATGACTAAAATAGATGTTTAACTCGGCTTCTGGGTCAGTCCAGTCCGTTACACTTTACTATGCGCTGCTAGTCAGCACCTAGCATAAGAAATTTCAGAAATAGCAAAAAATATTGTTTAAAATTAATGCTACAGACTCAGTCATTGCTGTACTGCCATATTGTTCGTTACAACAAATCAGTTCTATCTGTTTGTTTTTTTCAATTAATAATTTCAACTACTCATTTGTGACTGTTTATAATAATATATTATACAATATCATATTATACTGTATAATATTTAGTGTTGTCAAAATTAGTGTTTTCACGCAGGCAATTATTTTTTTCAGTTTAACAACATAAAAAATATTTAAAGCCGTTAACGAAGGGGCGGAGCCAGCCCACTCACAACTGCTGCTTCTGTCTCTTTTTCTTTAGAAGAATTGTGTTTATTTAGATGCAGAACGTCTTTATGATCACATCAAATGGGAGACTTCCCACGTAGCCAGTGCAATCAGGCCAATTGCTGCTGAGTTTCGTCTCACTCGGCTGTGTTCTGGCAGCGGCTCACCGAAAGTGAGCCAGCTCTGGCCCAGTAATGGTTGCCAGATTTGGCTAGGCTTTGGATGTGCGGATTTAGCCCGATTTGCACTGAGACATGGCACATTTAGCCACATTCCGCCCATTTAAGGACCATAAGGGCTGGTCTGATTTTGGCTGAGATATGGGCATGCAGACCCGGACCAGTTTAGGTTGAGTGCTGGGGGTGGGTCTCCGTTTACAATGTGGTAAATAGTATGTAGCAGTGACACTTAAACTTAAACATAATATCTTTTACCTGACCATGTTATGTTATTTCTTAGTGTATTTTTTATTTTAATTCCTATGAATTTTTTATTTTTTTTTATCCAACTTTTTAAATTTAACTACATTTGGTAATTAATGATTTAATTCATTTAATGAAACAGGCTTAAAGTGGTTAAGGGAACTTTAACATTATTTTTGCTATATGAGTTTCAAGACATGCGCACTAGCTTTGACATCTAATGACAAAACCTGACGGGCTTTTTGTGCTGCTAATTGCCAGAAGACCAGAAGAACTTGCTACCCTGGTGAGTAAACATTTGATAATTTAACATATAATATCAGTTTAATAAACCGTTCTACACATATAATATTAAAGTAATGTTTATTTATAATGAAGCTATAATTGTACGTTCGCTGACATAGTGCTAGAGTTGAGTAACAGCAAAGTAACAGCAGCCAAAAACAGTCAAAAAACCTAATAACCCAGCTGCTGTGACATCTGTTCATCAAAGAACAAAAGGAAAAAAGAGGAAATCAACAACTTTTGTAGCTTTAAGGATTCATCTATATTTAATTTAGAATTTAGTGTTTGATAACTTCAATTTCTGTATATTTCCTACTTGCTGAAGGGTACAGGTAGCTAAATATGACATTTATTATAATGGGTTTATGTGAAGATTGTTTTAAGTTCACTTAAATTAGAAGTTGTTATTTTTTAAAGTCTAATAAATGTTAAAACTGATCGCTCTCAATTACACTGTAATGTTGAATGCCAAAAATCAATGATTAAAGGGGTCATCGGATGCAAAATTCACTTTTACATGTTGTTTGAACTGAACTGTGTCTTGGCAATGTGTGTACACAACCACCCTATAATGGTAAAAATCCCCCCAGTGTTTTTTTTTTTTAAATATTGATAAATCATGACCCCTTTTTAAAATTAAGCCGTTCTCAGATTCTTGGCTGTGTGACATCACACAGACCCAGACCCTCCCACGATTGTTGATTGACACTGCTGTTTTACCTTAGACCCGCCCTGATGAGCTGTAAACCATCCGCCATTGTTTCAACTCCGGAGCAGGAGTAGACAAGAGTGTCTCCTAAGCAATTGAGGTGTTTTGTTGTTGGATGTAATAATGAACATAGCAGTCGTCATTTACTCCCGACATCTGAGCCGCTGAAGACGTAGTGGATTATCTTTGTTTCTGAAGGAAATGCGCCCCGATCTACCTAAATGCATCTATGTTCGCACAAATCCTTCTTGATCCAGCCTCACCTACATTTTTTTAATGAATTTTGCAAATCGCCTTTCCTAATAATGTGCTAGTTAGCCAGTTTCAAGATGAATGCGGCTAAAGTTTACAGTATCTCAGAGAGCGGCTCGGAAGAGAGGAGCGGGGTGAGCAGAGCTAATTAGCATTTTAAGGGAAATGCACCATAACAGCTTGCTGAGAACAGAGCTGTTTCTGACAGGTTAAAAGGGTGATGTTTTACACTACCATTAAAGGGGTCATATGATGCGATTTCAAGTTTTCCTTTTTCTTTGGAGTGTAACAAGCTGATTGTGCATAGATAAGATCCCTGAAGTTGCAAAGACTAAAGTCTCAAAACCAAAGAGATATTCTTTATCAATAAGACCCCGCCACGCCCCCCTAAAATGGCTCGTTCTAACATGCCCCCACATACCTACCTCACTATGTGGAAATATTTGCATAATGCCGCCCAAATGTGCACGCAAAGAAAGAAAGCGTGGTTTCAGTAACCGCAGTTAGTGTTGAAGCAGCATGTCAGGGAGACGCTGTGTGTTTCAGTGTGAAAGCAAAAGCACTTTATTTGGCCTTCCGAAAGTAGATGCATTTAGGAATCTTTAAGATTACTTACAACAGAACAGCAATGCATTTTATGTACAACTGTTTCGTGAACCTAGGAGAGGAGGTCATTCTGACTTTGCTATGACAATCTGGCGCTTCTGAATCAGCTACTACTTTTTGTGCGCGCACGTGTGTGTGTGAGAGAGAGAGCGAGACACATCACAGTGGAGTCAGCTGTCTTAACCGTGGCTTGTGTACTTGTGTACTG